TTCTACCATAAACAATAGGGGTTTGAACAAAATCACTCTGAATAAACAAATCAAATAATTTCTTGGCCTTATCACTTCTCATATTTCTGAAGACCTCTGTAATAATTGAGGTTGCAGTCAAGACTACTTGGGAAGTAAGTGCATTTAGTTAACCAATCAACATCCGACTCTACACACTCTATTGGCCATATTAACCTTACAGCCAATAGAATTCTACTTCAAGCAGATTGATTTCTAACAGAGCCATTCACATAACCATATTTGCAGTTCTGCCCTAAATGCTTATGAGCTGTCCAAGCCTTTCTGGGCGTGGTCGGTCAGCCTTGACGGGGGTTTTTTGGCATAGTCCTGCAGTTTAGCGGTGTGGCAGGACACTTTCTGCAGGGAGGCTGTTGTTGAAGGAGGTACCGGGTCACGCCGCAGCAGACCGAGACAAGCAACCATGACTACAACAAATATGTTTCAGGGACTTGATAGTAGTGGCAAACCGAGCTCAAGGTACGGACCGTGTGCTGAGAGTTTATCTGGAGCAAGCCGGTGTTTGTAGTAGGTTTGGTGTTGACACTTAAATGTGTTTATCTGAATCGGCAATCGTGAAAGAGGAACTTTAGCATGGCTAGGCGCTACAAGCTAACTCTTATTTGTTAAGCGATTAAACTAGTATTAAGTTTACACTGTAAGGTCAAAGTACTGGATTTAACTGTATGAATAAAGTGCCGTGGAGTGTGTTTTGCTAAAATATGATATTACAAACTTATTTCAATGTGGTTAAGTTAAAATGAGTTGTTAGCCGTTAGCGGCATTTGTGCCGAGGCTCAAAGAGAAGTTTTGTGAGCTACATAGACGTTTTACTTCTAATCAGAAATGTATTTCTACGTTGAAATGATGGCTACCTTAAAATAAATGCGAGTTTATGAATAGATATGAATTTATGCACACTTCTGACTTTGAAGTAGGCGCATTTCCTTAAAGTGTTGTTGATGGGAAACGAAAGTATGCCGCAGGTTTTAGTTTTGTTTATTGTGCAGGGCTTTAACTTTAGTAAAGAAACACACGAATTATTATTAAAATTCAGCTTTTGACGTTAGGTACATCTTGGTGGCCCATAAAAGCCTGACCGCCTAAACTTATAACTGCAGTTGCGATGTTCCGCCTCACAGATAGGGTGGCGCTGTAGTTTTAGGACATTTTATTAATCTATACATTTCAGTAATGAGATATAATGTGTAATATTCGCATTAATTCATGCACATATCTGTATGTTGTCTGTAGGGTACTAAGACCTCCAGGTGGAGGGTCAAGCAATCTCTTCGGTGGTTATGAAGAAGACACTTCTGCCTCCAGACGGCCAAACAAAATGTCCTCCTCTGTTTTCGCACCTCCAGAAGAGACCCAGGGGAGTACCAAACGCTCCAATCCCCCAGGTGAGCTTTCAGCAGACAGTGTTTTCTGTCTGGGGCCTCTTGCGCTGTGAGTGAAAAGCATCACCACACTGTTGCTTAGTTTTATGCGTTCGAGACTCTCTCTTCCCCTATGCAAACAGGGGCACTTTGCATGTTATCGTGTCACTAAAAGCATTATCAAAACCTCTACATCAGTCTAACCAGTCAGTTAACTTTGTGAGATCATACACAGGCTGAACTGATCAGTGATCAGTTAACTGACCTGGTTAAGTGGTCCTCTTCTGTTTGAATTGTAATAATATTTCATGCTATTTGCATGCTTTGCCCTGAGGGAGCAGGTGCTGAGAATGTCTCTTTGTTTTTTCCTTCACTGTTATACGTGGTGTTTTATAATTGGCCAGGAAGAAACTAACCATGTCACTGTGGTATCATTACTATGGTTTTAGAAATGAACAAGTGGCCCGGCAAAGCAGGGTTATTAATGCTAATTAAAACTAAAATCAAGCTTACTCAAGGAATTGTTTATTACGACTTTAAAAGAAAAGTTTTCAGAATTTTTATCTTATGCAAATGTAAAACATCTTGCATCTTAATCTTAACTGATGTATTCTTCATTTCAAACATGTTAAAATTATTAGAACTTTGAGTAATATATACAGCTCTGATTAAAAAAAA